TCCCATCCTTTTTATTTTAGAACAATATATTAATATTTCTAGGAATTATAGATTTATTTAAATTGAGAATAGTGTGTAGATATTTCAAAACAACGTAATAATATTCTGATTGATTGTTAGAGTTGAAAAATATTGGTATATTCCTTATAAGAAAGAAATTATAAAGTATGAATTAGCAAAAGAGTTAGCTTACAATAATGAAGCTTATAAAAATATATAGATTCCAGCAGAAAAACTTAAATAAAAATTAAGAGCTTGTATTGATATGATAATGAATTTAATTCATTGGGATGATTTACATCAATAAATAGAAGCTGATTAACTTGATATTGATGCTTATAGACCACTTATTATAATGCTTAGATTATTTAATAAATAATAGGAGATATGCTATCCCTCTTAAATTAATGGTTTATTTAGTATTGCATAATTAGCAAAGAATATTAAAAAATAAATTAATGATTACCTTAATTTATAATTTTTACCTTTAAGTTTTAAATCAATGAGATAAATTTAATAATAGACATTATCAGCACCTGAATTTACTGTTGGAGGTGTAATTCATGATGAATTAAGTTTGAGTGAATTACTTACATTTTTACTTTAAGCTTTATATTTTCATGGTTGGATGACTTAAATAATTACAATCTATTAGGTAATATTACAAAAGAGATAAAAGTAAAAATATCATCTATAAAATAGGGAACTATAAAATTTAGATTACTAACAAAATTATAACAACGATTTCTTAAATTAAGCATTAAGATATATTTACAAAATAATTGCTTTTTCACCTACCAAAGATACTTAAGAATAAATTGAAATAATGATGAAAATAGTATTATTATTTATTATATATATAGAGCTATATATTATAAGAGAGTTTAAAGAAAATAAATTTTTGCCCTGAGGCAATTCCAAAAACTGAACCTTCTGGTATTATCTATCAAGGGAATGATGTTATCAAGATTATATCATTCATTCAAAATACATATTTTTTTTTTCTCTAATTGCTAATTAATAAAGACTATCATCAAAAATCATTAACATCTCTATTTGAAGATTAATATTTAAGTAAAATTCTTCATGCTGTGTTATTAAAATATCATCCCTCGACAATTCTAAATGCTCCCTAATTTTGGACAAATAATTCAAAAAAAGAATAAATCATCTATATGATCAAAGTGACTGAAATAACAGAATGATTCGAAGACATTGTTAATTACTTAAATAAGTAGTTCATGTGTCAAATTAATTAGATAAATTTACTTTTTTTTATAAATATGTAGATTACATTACTCCCAAAAATTAATATGTAAGTCTTTCCATTTCCATATTCTCCTACCCAACTTAAAAAATTTATTTATTCAATATTCTTCATTATTTCATTTTCATTTAATGGTTTAGATATCTTATCTCTATTTATTTTATAGTATATTTACATCCTTATAATGATTCCATTATTAATAATTGTATCTCTCCTTGTGTTGTGAATGTGATTAAAAAATATGTTTTTTACAAGACGCCTTAATAATTATGTAGCCCTTCAATCACTCTAGTATTCTCATTAAGTTATTATTCATTCTTAATTATTAAAATTGAATCTTTTTGTTACATTTTAATTTTCTTGCTTCGATTGATAAATCATCTTTATCCATTTATTAAGATTATTGGATTTATTCTATAATATTATTATTATTAAATCAATTCAGTCTAATATGTGTGTGAAAATTAATTTTAATTTTTTCAGAATTCTGTGCGATCAAACTATTAGGTGATATCGAAATATAATTATAATTTTGGATCTATTATTATTCAAATTTAAAGGAATCATGTAAAGTTTTTGATCAAGAATAATGAAAAATACAAAGTAATTTTAAAATCAATAATTCTATAAGTTAATTAAAATTATCTTTTATTTATGAATTTAATTAATTAAGTTATATGAAAATGTTAAGATGATTTGTTGAGTCAAACTATTAACTTCCATAGTTTACTCAACAAATCATCTTAACATTTTCATATAACTTAATTTCATTTTTATAATTCTATAACTTATGAAATAAATTATTACAAGAAAAAATATATACAAAGCATCAAAGTAGTTTTGAATACAGAATAAGGCTATCAAACTACAATAAATAGTATGCTAACAATATTACAGCATAGAAACTCGAGCATAAAATTTAATTAATTATTAATCATCAAAATGGAAGACTAACTCTTGATAAATAATTTTTACTCCTAATCAAAGCCAAATAACATTACCCCTCCTAAATTTTCGGTTGAAATCTATTTTGATTCCATTTTCATTTCATAGAAAAAAGGCTATTCTTAGATCTGATTTTTCAGTCATTGTTCATAAATGTATTAATAACTTTGTTGATTGTTAATTTAATAAATGTATGGAATGCGATGAATAAAATGGATGGTATCTACATAATAACAATTGTGTACCAATCTGTGGTGACGGTTTAGCGAGATATTTTTTAGATTGTTTTGATAATAACTAAAAAGAACTATTTTGAAATTTTACCTGTATAATTGCAATTTAATATGAATAATGTGATGACTAATGCTAGACTGAATGGGAATGTCATTTTTGTCATTTCTAAGGGGTTTAAAATTGTTCTAAACACAATATGGGTATCTTTCTGGAATGATATCATGGGTATAATCTAATTAAATTAACAAATTCTTGCATTTTAGATTAAACCTTTGGTTTCCCAAAAGATATAAACTATAACAATAACCAAATATTTTAAGAGCTTCTTTGTGGTGATGAAATCTTGAATGAAGATTATGAGGAATGTAATGATTTAAATGACACATTTTGCTTTTAATGTTTCTTTAATTGCCAAAATTCTTGTTCTACATGCTATAATGGAAAGTGTTATCAATGTAATTAAGGATGGATTTTAAATACTTTTGAAAGAATTTGTTATTCAACATAAGGAGATAAATAAATAGTAGGAAATAAACAATGTGATGATCGCAACTAAATTGAATAAGATGGATGTTTTTTATCTTAATTTTAATGCCAGAATTTTTGTGAATCATGTTCAATGGGATTATGTCTGAAATGTCAAAATGGATTTATGGTAAGGAATAATAGGTGTGAGGAAATTACTTCAAATGGTTAAATAGTTGGAATAGAATAATGTGATGATTAAAATTTAAATGCGTAGGAGGGTTGCTTTTTAAAATAGATATGATTTTCCTTTATTTTGCTTAAGTTGTGTTAATGGAAAATGTTTGGAATGCAATAAAACTTAAGGGTATGGTAGACTTGATATACAAAATAATAAATGTTAATCTGTATATGAAGATGGCATAAAATCTGTTGAGGAATATTGTGATAATGGAAATGAAATTTCTTATGATGAATGCTATTAATTTAAATACTCTTGTGATTTCAATTGCATCAATTGCCAATCAAGCATATGTGAATAATGCTTAATTGGATATTATTTGAATAGATATCTTAATTCTTGCTTTAGTATTTGTGGTGATGGAATAATTACTGAAAATGAATCATGCGATAATAGAAAATTATGAATGCTCTAGCTGTTAAATATATTGCTAGCCTGAGTGTTTAAGTTTTTAATAAGGATAATCTTATTCTTGTGAAAACTAAGGTTGGGAGATTGATTTAATATAAGGCATTAGCAATTCCAAATGTGGTGATGGCATAATTGTAGGTAAAGAGCAGTATGATGATGGCAATGAAATTGAAAATGATGGATGTTATTAATGTGAATTTCAATGCTAATAATTATGTACTAAATGTTTATCAGGATTTTGTATAGAATTGATACCCCAGGTTGGATATTATATGAAAATTATTGTGTATTATATTGTGGAGAGTTGATTGTTATAGATAAAGAATAATGCGATGATATGATGGTTGCTTTTAATACTAATTTTAATGTTAATTGAGTGTATTGATTGTTAGACTATGCTATGAATGTGGAATTTAAGGTTGGTAATAATAGGGATCAAACTTTAATTTATTATAACAATAGTGAATGTAATTTGCTTGCGATTAATTTTCATTGATTATTAATAAGGAATCTGTTAACAATGTGAATTAGGAAGATTTCTTTCTTAAAATGTTTGTCTCTTTCAATGTTGGGATGGTAATTATGTAAAATCTGTTGAAAGTTGTGATGATGGTAATTTCTAAAATGGCGATGGTTGTGATTGTAATTGCAAAATGTGGAAGGTAGCTTCTCTTTTTGTGTTTATTCAAAATAACTATAATTCTAACTTACTTTTCTTCCTAATTATTTTGGCTAATTTTAAGAAGTTTTAATCAATTTTCGATTAAAAAATGAAATATTAATAAAACGATGATGAAAAATTATCTTTATTAATTCTTTCTGAAATTATCAATTTTGAGAATACAAAGTATTTTATAGAGAAATAATTAATTAAGACAAATCCGAATTAGAAAATAAAGGGATATAACTATTCCCTTATATGTCAATTTTTATGCTCCAATAGAAAGGCCAATATTGAAAATATCATTTTTGGATGATTTAATTGTTTCAGAATACGATATTTCTCTCAAAGGATCAGTCAAAACTACATAATTACTTTCTGCTGGTGTGCTCAGTTAAACTTAAATAAAAGTAGTAAAGTGCAGCGGCTTTTAATGAGGCGGTAATCTATATCTTAATAGGTTTGTCATCTATTTGTTTGTAAACAGGAACCTCTTAATTATTTTGGAATTTTTTGGATTAATTATAATATTTATCATAAGTCAAATATGTAAATATTTCTTTTTCCATCTAACCTTGATATATTTACTTTGAAGTTTTTAAAATGATCACGATCGAACCAATATTTCAAGTCTTGAGAATTAATAGTTTTTAATCTAATTTATCAAGAAGAATATAATCCACCATTAAACTGATATTAAATTTTTGAATGATGATATTAATGTACATTTCTTTGCAAACTTTAAAAGTTTCTTATTTTGCATGATTGGTGCTTCTCTAGAGCACTTTTTATAAAAGCTTTTTACTTTATTTTTATATAAAATCCAACCTTATATATTATTAAGAATGAATTTTACAATTGTGAAACAATTGTACTAAATAAGAAAAAAATGTTTGTAATAGTCGAAAGAGTTTTTCTATAATAGCATTTTAATGAATTCTTATGTTATGTCAAATACATTTGACATTTCTTTTGCAATGACAATTCAAATAGCATATTTTTAGACAATAGCTTTATCTAATCTGTTACATAATATATATCTCTTGTTGTTTTTACTTTTTGTATTACGATTATCATTTACATTTTTAATATTTTGCAAAAGTTGTCTAAATAAAATATATTAAAAAATAGGAAATAATATGAAGCTTTATTAGAAGAAGTTAGAGATGAAAAAAATGTTTGGATTGCATAATACAATTCGATTTAATTAATTAATTGTTTTTATGTAAAAAGAAGTGAAACTTTAATCTCTGCTCATTGCAGCTAATGAAACTTTATTTTTATCCTGTTTTATTTTGAATAAACCTTTACGTAGTTATTGCGAGTAATTTAAAATTATTGTTACTGAGTCTATTAGTCACATTTATTCTTTATGACTATTTTATGGATTTGATTTACCTTAATATTATAGAATTAATTTAGGTTGGTTTCATATTATCACCTTCTCAGCAATTTTCTCTATATCATTAATTATTGATTTTTATCAGCAGTCCAAAGCTTTGGGAAAAAAATTAAGATAGAATTTCTGAAAGTTGTTACATAATTTATCTAAAATTTTATAAAACATATTCATATTATTAACTAAAAAATTAACTTATTTTGAATTTAAAATTATTTTCAAAATTTTTTCAGATTTCAAGTGCATTAATATATTGAGAAAAGGTTTGTAATCGAGTCATGCTTTTATATATTTTGTTTTAATTAATATGTTGCAGTATATAAACAATTAAGTTAGAAAGGTCAAGGTAAAGGAATATATTTTCTTGTTTCACTAATTTTCATCATTCAATTGTATACAATAAATATTAATATTAACTTGATTATGATAGCCATAAAAAGTCTCATTCAAATTAATATCAAATTGATTCATTTAATAGAATTACTTATTAAAAAATTTGTTTTGTTAGCTTAGTACATTTAATATTTTAGAATTAATTATAAATTTAAATTGTATGTATTGAATTTAATTAAAAAAGTCCATTTAATTGTTAATCACTTTTTAAAATTATTAATGATTCAAATAATTTATTGTTAATTATACCATGTATTGTAAAAAGTATTTAATTATTGTATTTAATCTTTTGATTTTAATACTTTTCTCTATATATAATATTCAAAACTAAATTACTGGATTTATCAAATATTTAATAGTAAGATCATAATAAAGAAATTGATTCATTAATATTGGGAAAGTAGCAACTTATTAAGTAACTTAGTAATTGATAATTTAGAAATAATAATTACTCTTTAGCTCTATTATTTTACTCAGTCAAATAAGTAATAAAAATAATTAACTAGAATCTCAAATACACTAGTCATAAAGGATTTACTGCATTCACTAATAACCTCAGTTTTGAATACATTGATGATTCTAAAATTAATTGTGTTTGAGTTTTAAACAAATATATATAAGATTTAAAATTTTTAAGATTTGAGGAGAAGTTTTAAATTCTTATCACTGAAATCCTTAAATAAACTCTGCCATTGAGAAAGTCTTAATTAAACATTTTTTTACCGTACTGAACTTACTTAATTAAAAAGTTTATTCAACCTAATAAGATTCTAATATATTGATGACTCACCAATGATTACTTAATTGACTTTGAAAATTTTAAAATAATATATATTTATTATTTTACACTAAAGATTTAGAACATTACACTTTATTTTTTGAATATTATTCATCGAAATTCTTGAGAATATCTTAGAGCAATATTTTTTATTCTTGTAATAAAAAAAATCCTTCCATAGCCTGATTGGTTTAGCATCTTTGCATCTCTAATTATAGAGAATGCTACGAATTTTAACTCTGGCATAAAAATTTGGTTTACCGAAGGTAGCTCTATATACTATGTTTAAGTCTATCTGCACCAACAAAAGAAAGTATTTTATTAATTCTAGGTTGTACACTGCATTTATGATGGAATGAATCTTTTTCAATTTTTTTAATCATATTATATTTATGAATGGCAATTTAGCATGCTTCTAAGGTTACTGATGAAATTTATTCCTTTTCATTTGACACAATGTGGATGGCAGCTTAATTCATATTAATTATTAAGTATTGGGAATTCATCTACATTAGACTTTTTTCTTCTGACATCAGAGATCTTAATTTTAGCATCAATACCTCCGTTAGATTTTGATTTAGAGAATGGTTTTTCATTAATCACTCATTTATTATAAAGGTTTGGGTTTAGGAGTAAATTAGAATGAAGGTGCTGTATCCATATGATCCTCACTTTAGAAAGATTATTTTGAACATGGAGATGTTCTATGACATATTGATCTAGCACTATATTTTAAGTAAAAAGCTATAGATTTATATACTTTCATAAAGCGATTACCCTCTTCACTTAAAATTTAAGGATTTTCTTTTAATTCAGTAATTATATTATGTTTAATCTTATTCATTTTGATTTTAATTGGATTCATCTATGAGTAGCTAATTATTAATGTGAAATAGTTTCAAATATAATATCATTTTCATATTTATTTTTGAAATTGTTCTTTCATCTAATTAAGTTGGATCTTATGTAAAACCTATATATTGAATTCACTTATTTATTGAGCATTTATTTTCCCTTAAGTTTCCTCTTCTGAATTATTTGGTAAATTGACTAATTAATGAGTTAATATTTTAGATATTGGTTTTTGTTTATTGAATTATAAAAACTCTTTATATTTCAAAAGCATATTTTCTAGGTTTATTTATATAATTTTAGTTCATATTAACTATAATAAAATTACTTAAATAAATAATAATAATAATAATTGGACATAATAATCAATCATTTGGAATTAAACAGTTTCCAAGCCTGTAAATGATCCTATTTAAAGGATTATTTAGCTTAACTATTATTGCATTTATGAATATAAAGTTTCTCCCATGAATCAAAAAGGTTATAACAAAGCCAACTAGGTGAATCTTAAATACCTATACCATATCCTTTCATACCTAATAATAAATCCTTTACATTTAGATTGGGTTAATAGAATTCTCCCTTTAAATTTAAATAGATTAAAACAGTTCTTTTTGCATCATACACAGTATTCACTAAAATAAATTATTTTAAACAAGAAAAGGTGAACCATACATCCTCAGTTACTTTTAAATTATAGTTAGCAACATTTTTATCATCAGAATATTATATTAAATCTCCACTAAGATTTTGAGCTTTTTGAGTTAAGATTTCTTCAGTGGTTTTTATCCACAAAGATTGGTTAGCATTAATTAATTTAGACCATTTATCTACATATGATTGGTATATGAATTATACATAAGAATTAACTTTTTGTCTATGAGTATTATCTTATAAGAATTATTAAAAAAAAAAAATAATTAGGCTTAGATCATATATACTTACACTGATTAAAGATTTTTAAAATAGTGCCATTATCTAGCCATGTTTAAAGGCATAACATTTGTTTAAACACAGAAAGGAGATGTCATAGTGAATTCTTAATTCTTGATAAGAATTTTTCTTTCTTTAAAGCTTATAGCTTATAAACTTTTTTATATTTCCTAGTCCAATGCAAGAATTTCCTATTCATTTAGATATATATATCCTTATTCCAATTCTTTTTAAAGATTAGTTTATAAAATTTTTATCTATTATTTATTTTTGACTTCAAGAGGGAGTTGAATTGATATTAGCATTTTATCCTCAGGTTTTTATGAGGAGATAGATTAATTAGGATCTTGAATTATTCCAAGAGTATGTAAAACTTATTCTGCCAATTCATCTAAACTTAATTAATTTATTTTTTCCATATCTTAGTCATTTATTTAGTTTTGAATCTATTCATTTTATAAAACTAATTCTGTTATTTTATTACTTAAAAATCATTCCATCTATGAAATCGAATTTAGGACTAAATATTGTATTAATTCTAAGCAGTACTTTAATCAACTCAAAATTGTATTACTATCATTTGACCTATTTATTATTTATGGAGATTCATCTTTAGTTTATAAAATTATAATGGCACTCTTTTTTTGGCTTCTCACTAAAATATAATAATCAATCTACTAATATTCTTATTCATTCTTTGCTGGATCCGTCTTAAATAATAATCCTAATGATTTGATATGCAACCTTCTATCTCTACTTCTAATTATTCTCTATTTTTATATTGAAATAAAGGTAAGAGGCTAATTACCCTTTAAAACTTTCCATTATCTCTATTTTTGATCTTGATAAATCCTCTCCAAGTTTTTAATGTATTGCCTGTATAAAATGATTATTATAAATAATTTTCCAAAAACTTATCAAATCACCTTAAGTAATGCGAATAGTTTTGTTTTGTATATTTTTGCTTGATATTAAATATTTTGTATTTATTATCTTCTAGACGTAGATAATTTTATTATTTAATTAATAATAATATATATTTCCTATATAATTAGTATTTTTACTAAGTCTTGTTGTAATCGAAAGGATAAATTCCTACTCAGTAATATTACAAATGGCAAAATTTTAATGCTGATAATTTTTATCATTTCATTTTCAGATTTGGTATCATTATCAATCGATGAATCGAATCTTCATGTATTGCTTATGATCTAAATTATACGAAAACGTAAAATATTATAAGCGATGAAAAAAAATAATGATAATACTTCCTATGCATGCTATTAAATTATACCCTGTATAAGAAATAATGCATATTAAAAATGCTAAATTTGCTTTTTTGCAAGATATTAAGAATCACTAATTTTAATGGAGATTAGTAATTTAAGTGAAAAGAAGGAAATATATGATTAAGGTAATAGTGCAAAATTATTCTTAAAATTTTTTAAATACCATATGATTGGATATCACAAAAAAGACAAATTTTTTCTAAATATGATTTTAAAATAATTTAAAAGTAATTGTTCTTTTTCAGATAGAAATTTTTTGCTAAAGTTTCTATTATCCTCTCGAAAAACTATTAATATTTTTGATATTTTATGATTATTATG